TAATTTTTATACAGTATTTTTTTTTCTTTGATATTAATTTAAGTTTTTTCTTTGATATTAATTCAAGTTACATTTTTTGAGCATGGTTACCGATAAGAAAAAAAATATTTTTAATAATATATATTATTAGTTAATGTTGTTTAAAATATTTTTTTTATGTCACAATACATGTAGCTTATTCGTGAATTTTTAGCATTGAAACTATAGGTTTATGATAACTGAAATAAGAAACATAAGTTTGAGACTTGATATCCTCTAAATATTTGAAAAATACCGCGTCAATGGTGGTCCCATATTATGTTGTGAATTCTTGTAGATCATTATTTATTTTCAAATTAAATAATTTCCAAAACAAAAGTTATCAATGGCTCTGATTTTTCATCAGCGAAGTTAATGTTGAAATTGCCAGGCCAAGAGAATTGGAAATTTATTACCATTGATAATACAAATGAAATTAGGTATTGTTCAATTCAAGCAAGATACTGTTCCGAATTGTGGGGTAGCTATTTACCACAATAATAATAAGGTTACTAATATTATAAATCCGATTATTGTATAATTTATTTTTAATTATTTAAATTTTTATTAAATGCCATACTATTATTTACATTTAAAAAAATTGCATCTTAAATATTAATATTTTTGTATCACCCTGCTTTATAATTGATTTGTTCCACTTGAGATGCGGAAATACACCTAAAAGTATGCAAACATTTTGCGCCTTATTTGTTATCGTATTAGGTTTATTTCCGTTACGAAATTCCTTGATTCGGTCGCCGCGCTCAAAGCCCGCGATAGAAGCTATGCAATAGCTTAAAATATAGTTCTGCTGCAGAATATTTTATTTAAGGAAATATTAAAAAAAAGTTAGACCATACTCACTAACAGTAAAATTTGGGGGAGTTATGATAGAAAAAGCTAGATTAAACAGCAATAAATCAAAAAAAACGTTAATTTTGCCTGCACCAAAGCTATATAATTTTTTGCAGGTACATTTTTTATAGCATAAAGTAGCATAAAAATATATTTATCTTGATTTTGATATATACTGCCGCTTTTTACGACTTTACAAATATTTTAGACATATATTTTCCAATTTCAAGCAGAAATTCCTGCAACATTTTCATTCTCAACGCTGCAGCTTTGAGGAATGCTGCTCATTGCTAACTGAAATTAGTTTAGTTTTGCTAAGAAAAGTAGCTTTAAAATATTACTTTCCTTTCAGAGCTTAAATGTTGCACATTAAAGCACGCAAATAACTACAAACGCAGAAGCTACTAACAGCATCGGTGTATGTGTTTGTGTGTGTGAGTGATATGTGCGCATTTAATAACATCAAAGGGTGCTGCAATTCAAGTGCAATTCATTTCGAAAAGTGATACCAATTTGTCGATGGCGCTGCAAGACGCACACACATACATACATACACAGGCCACACACAAACGTATAAGTGCCACGAGCGCATAGAAATGAAGCGGAGAGTATGAGCGAAGGAACAATGGCAAAAATGCGGCTTGCAAACACTAGCGCAAGCAAACGCGGGCAGCTTAGATTTCACACACACACAAGCATAAGAAGCAGCAGCACTTCAGCGCCCCTAAAAGTGTGCAAGCTTTTGAAGCAAGAAAGGAAACTAGCATGAAAATGCAATGGGGAAAAATGATGAGAATTGACCTGAATTCCACGTGCTCATATAAGTATGTATGTGGCTGTGAGCGTGTGTGTGCATGTGTGGCAGCTCATAGTTGCAACATAAATACGCACAAATTTTTGCATGTATGTTTGTTGTAAGCGACTACAAGCATAGCACTAACAAGGTACACGTGTAACTTGCAATTGAGGCTACATTTTTCAAGTGCGCGCCCATAAAATCGCTAATTTGAACAGCCATAAATTAGGTCGTTGTGCATTGTGTGTGTGTGTGTGTGCGTGCGTGGGGCATGCATGTGCCGCAATTTCTGCTATTTCCGCTTTCTCGTTATGCTGTTGTGTTGTTGTTATTGCAGTTTGCGTGTAAGCTTTCGCTTTTTACCAGTATTTATGACTCTGCCGCCGCCAACCATATTTTTTCAGTTTATTTATATTTTTTGCATTTTTTTGATATTTTAGGTATTTTTATATGTTTTTTTTCATTTTCCGCTTCGCTGACTTCAATGCTAACGGAAATGCGCACTGCATATGCGAAGCCTATTTAAAGAAAAAGCTACAAAATTATAATAAAAAACGAAATAAAAATTAAAAAATAGTGCAAAACACTTACACTACCACACATACTCGCATGCATGAAACTCCACCTACTGCACCTTTTCGCTTTATGGCTTTTTATTTCGATGACTTTTTCTATTCTTTGCTTCTGTTTTTGCCTTCCGCCTCCGTGTATGGAATAGTCCAATTTCCTTGCTTTTGCCAAGCGAATCAGGGCAATAAAATTGAGTGCCACTAGGTGAATATATACCTATCAGAAAAATTAAAATGTATGGAAGAGGAATGAGAAAAAACGTTGTAAAAAGCTTACAACTGCAATTACAACAACAGCGACAAATCTGCCAATGCCATAACGGGCACAAACTGTAAAGAATGGCGAGATTGTAAAACCTGTTAACCAGAAATCACAAATATAAATCACACAAAGTGAGGCTGTGCTCAAGTTGCAAAGGGGCACAATCGACAGTGAAGCGAAGTCGTGAAAAATTTATCACAATATTATGATTTTGCGATGCAGTAAGAAAAACTCGGATTTTACTTACAACATAAGACTAAGTATTGGGTATATAAAGATCCTTGGTGAAAATATTTAACCGCGATATCACATATATGCAATTTTATGTCCAGGAGTCCATTTCTTGTACGATGTTACGAATGTATATCAATTTGTGAAAAATAAAAGTGTATGCGATCTTATATGACTTTATGTGATCTGTTCTCATATGTTGCGATGTGACGTGATGTGCCATGACGTGATATATTACAATGTGATACGATATGAGACGATGCGATGTGATTAGCTATTATATTGAATTAGGTGACTGAGATATATGCAGCCAACTTTTATCGTATGATGTGATGGGATTTGATGTGATGATTTTATAAAATATATTATTTCAAGACGGAAACGTAATGTAATGTTCAGTTGTTCTCCTTTGTGTGAATAATTATAAATCATAATATGCTGCCATGTGATGCGATATCATGCGATGTGTTGTAGCATGATATAATTAGATCTTATGTGATCTGATGTGGTAAGATGGAATTTTTTTTGACAAATTTTTACATTTAAAGGGTTGTAATGTGAAAAGTTGTGTAAATAGGACACTCAAATGCAGTAGCTGATATGATATATGACTTTTTATAGCATAATGTGATTTAAAAATAATTAATGACTAATAATTGGAATACTTTGGAAGACCGAATAGGCTGACTCTACAAAATGTTGTTGTTTTTTACCATTAAAAATTAAAGCAGTATGCATAGATGTGCTTGAAGCTATATCAGATGAAAAGATGTGATGTGATCAGTTGAAGAAAAAAATTAATAAAAATATCATTTGATGAGATAGTATAAGTAAATAAATTTACTGTGACAAAGAATGTAGATAGTCCTTTTATAATATAATGGTTAGTCGCAACTATACAAGGTGCTTCAAATCACTTCCAAATAATTTAAATATCTTCTGCGATGTAATCTCATTGAGAAAGCGTGCATTATATATTGGGTATTTGTCTAAAGTTTAAGTAGGGTGTTAAAACAGGCCTAGACTGCTCCATTTTGGAAAAACTGTGAACAATGTCGAAACTTCAGCAGTCTTAGCAGTGTTTGAAACCAAATAGAATATATATATATATATATATGAAGTCGGCATACGGTATTTTAAGGATTATTACCCATTTATAATACACTTGGAACTTCAAAATATTTAAAAACCGTATTTAAGTTTTCCCAAGACACTGTCTCCAAAACAAAGCAACTGAGAACTACCGCTATTTTTTTAGAACACATTAATTTGTACACGTTTATACTCACAGTTGTATGAGTTTGAATGCGCTTGAATGCCTGTATGCACCACCGCATATACTCGCATGCACTGGCATGCGCCATTATTTGGATAGAGGCTGATCTTCAGCTGTTTGTTATTTGTATTTGCTGCTAAAGAAATTAAAAGAAAAACAAAAAAATGTTGCTCATACGCAACGGTGGGCGGAACAGACTAGAGGATTATAATGGTGAAATACAAGCGAAAAGCGAGTGGAAGCAAGTACGATATAAAACAAAAAAAGCAGCAAAAAAGCGTAGGAGTAATGAATAAAGCGCCGAGCAGTTGGAAAGGGAAAACAAACTGTAGGCAGCGCAGAAATCAAGCAGGTGTGAAGTGCAGCACATTAGTTGCGCACTGAAGCCATTGAAATATATATGCTTTGATTTAAGTCGCGGCACGAGTGCTAGTTGCCAGCAGCCAGCAAACAACAGGTGTAGGACACAATGCATTTGGAAAATGATTTACGATTGCCGACAGTGGAAAGTGGAAATAATTGCACAAATGCATTGCCACCTGTGGAAGTATACGGGAGGGGTTCGCGAGCTTTCAGTTTTTGTACTAAAATTTTTTTGTCTAGCTACAAATAATATTTATCGCAATTTTAGCTTAAGCTTAGCCTTAAATTTTTGTTAAGAACACTCTTTGTGCGGTTATAAAAAAAAATTTATTTAATACAGTCTGAAAAAACTAAAACATATATAAATTTTATTTCAGAAACCAGTTGTGAATTGCAAGTTTTCAAATGATATGAGTGAAATGTCATTTATTTTACATTTAAAAGCAATTAGGTTTTATGTCCTGTTGGAAAGAAGTTAAAGAAATAAGTTCGAAAGCTTTGTTTTGAAATCTCTAGACACATATTTAGTGCAAGGCAAAATTGAAACAAACCCAATTCCCTCTAGGTATTAATTATCTATGAAAAATTGCTAGAATTATTTATTTTTATATTTATATAAAAAAAGTACAATATTTTTCCTACCACAACACTATTGTTTTGAAATTTTTTTGAAAGCTTTCAAAACTTCCAAATGACATAAAAAAAAACTCAGATTAAATTAGATTTCAGATTTCACACAATCAATATTCTTTGAAAATAATTCGAAAACCGTAACGCATTAGCGATGCAAGCCTTCGAAGTTTTCTATGCACAAACAGAGCGTGCCGTGAATTATTTGTATATTTTGGTGATTTGTATTTTACCGCTTTTATGGTTTGGCGATTGTAAGAAGACGATGTCGCTGTTATTCAAGAAAATCATACCACCAAATTATAAGGAGTACGACATACAATGGGACTTTCCGCGTAATCTGCAACTGCTACTAATCACTTTAGGTGTGGCGCTCTTCTTTCTGCATCGGACTTGGCGCTTGCGCTTGCAAGAAGAACGCTGCGATAGAATTAAACTGGAATCGGCATTCACCGAAACACATGAGTTGCATCAATTGAAGCTGAAACTGTTACAGGCGGTCGATAAGATCACAATGGAGAAGATATTGCAGCCGAATATAAGTGAGACTAAGACTACTCCCATTTGGAAGCCAATAAAGCGGACGATTTACAGCATGAAAGAGGAGGAATAAGTAGGTAGAGTTGAGAGATGAAATTAATAGAAAGAATAGATTGATAGATCAAAACTTGGATTAAATTGGTGCAAACTTGTTTTTGTAAAAAAATTTATTAAAGAAGCTGAAATCAATTATTTCAGACTTGCAGATATTTTGTTATTATCTCTTTTAATATTAACTAATCGGTGACATAAAAGCGCTCATCTACTCACTATAAAGATTTTTCTTTGCTCTAAAAACGTGAGTTGAGCTCAACGAAGGCATATATTTGGCTACGCTTGCCGGCTTCGCAGTAAGTTCGACATAAACTTTGGTCTTCACATATTTTCTTTCACTCTACGTTTAGCCACCTTCTTTTTCTTTAGTGGATTTCATAACTTGCTGTTGAGACAGATATATACTACCCAAAGCTCTGTGGACAATCTACAGTGAATGAATATTCGATAGTCGGGTTTGCTCAAACAGAACGGAGCCGGATTTTTGTTCAACTAAAGGTTACTAACTCGTCGGGATCGGCAAAATTATTTGAATAATATCTTCTGTATCAAAAATATATCATGACATCACATCGATATCAATTCTTGTATCTGAGTCTTCAGGCAAAACAACGATGACAAAATTAAGGCTTGCACCGCGACTCAAGGTCTATTGGGTCCAAATTACATAGAAATGTCGCCAACAGTTACAAAGGTCATACTAAAATGAAAATTGGAAATTGTTTTGAAAATTTAAAAACAAAAGCAACAATTCTGTGTCTTTCGTGCCATCAGAAGGTCGTGGCCTGCGCGTCATGTGTCGTGTCTTGCATATATGCGTTCTTTTGTTATTATTGACAACAACGCTTGTTCCTGTTATTGCTTTTTTTGTCACAGTTAGTGCAGTTGTTTTTCTACTAATTGCTTTTGTTATCTCAGCAATTGCGTCTCCTAGGAAAAGTAAGCAAAAACAAGCAGCAGCAACAGCAAATGGTGGCATAGCTAAACAGCAACGTGCAACATGCAATACGCAGCGTTTGAAAGATGGCAGGCAGCAAAGCTTGCGCTGCTGTGGCAGCTGTGTCTCATGTTTATGCCTTCATCACATATACACACACATATACAAGTACGATTGTGTGTGTGTGTGTTTTTGCGAAGAAGCGGCAGATGTGGCACTGCGCGTTGTTTGTTGGTTTTTGGGTGCCAGCCAAAGATCTTGTTGCTGCTTGTTGGCTGCACAGTGTGACAGCAATTGAAATTTGTGTTGTTCTGCAGCTTTGTGCTGGTATTTGTGCTTCCAATTAAAAATTGTGCACAAGCACATGCAACGGCATATAGTATGCATACAGTGCAAAATTAGGACGCGTGCAACCTATCTACACATTGAATGGGTGGAATGGAAATGTTAAAAAACAATACACATACGGTTAGGCCAACACACACTTTTTGTTTAGCATTTTCATAGTTTTTGTTGTTGTAATTGGAACTGTTTGCAGCACTATATCTCTATGGAGAGGGCATAAGGTAGTTTATGCTTAAACTAATAATAACAACAGTGTTGGCCTTAGGAATATACATAGAATGGAAAGCGCAGTAAATAATGCACATATGATGCAAGAAAAATATTGCAACAACAACAGGCAATAACCGAGCTGCACAAAGGTAACTCTGACACAAGCATATGTGGCAGAAGACCAAGCGGAGGAGCCGCTGCTTAGGTAAGTAGCTGGTATTTCATAAAAGTAGGTATGTGAGTACACCTCAGGTGATGCGGATTTGCTGGTGTTGCTAAAAATTATGCTTCTTAAGCAGCTGAGTTCACTTAGCATAATATTAATTGATTTTTTTTAAAGCATACCTTTAGGAGCGGCAAATAAGTTAAGGGGTTTCGCGGCTTAAAAAAAATGTATATTGCCCTATTTAATTCTACAAGTATAACATCTCTAAAATATTGTCTCAAATTCTCAAGTTGATATCAGTAAACGTTTTGGAGATACAGCTTTGAAAAGCTGCGCGCTCGAGGTCAGCTCTATTGTCACTTAAAACCTTAAACGCGTTTTGCTCGAAACTGTGAATTCAAAGTCGGTTGTCAAGATTTCTCGCGAACTACTCAACCGATCTTGATGAAATTTTATACAGGTGTTTGAGGTACAAGTTACTCGTACTTTGACTGAAATGTTAATTTTTTTGGAAAAAGGTCTGCCAAAATTTCAATTTGAGCTTGTTTTTTTTTTCTTCGTTCACGTACGAGTTTATGGTCTTAACTAAAACATATATACTTTTTTTCATTTTAAATGATCCTGTCAGGAGTTATGCTGACAACGCGGACGCACCTTTTTTTCGGGGATCACCGGAAATGACGTTACAATGGCGGAGTTTTAATTTTTTTTTTTTGAAAATCTTAGAAATTATTCTTTAAATGTGCATTTTTAAGACAGAAAAATATTTGAATTAAATAAATAATCTTTTATATAAAAAAAAAAATTTTGAAAATAGGCCGTTTTTTACCCGACGAAACCCATGTAACCCCTTAAGTATTGATATATTGTAGTTATGGTTTTAAAAGAAAAATTTTGTGGTTATTTGAAGTCTGAAAAAAATAAATTCGGTCTACGAGGATAAATTGAAGATTTAATACCGTTAGCGTCTAGAGTTAGCTGAGCACTTGTTCCGGTTTGGCCGGGATAGTCCGGTTTTCGAGTTAAGCGTCCCGGGCTTAGAAATTTAAAAGAAATTTTTTCCGGGGCATACAAGGTCGTCTAGGTCTAGAACAATCAGCAGCAGTTGCATTATTAAATTTTTCTACTTCTCTCTCCTAAAACCAACTTAAACCTTGGCTTCAGCTAAAATTTATAGCCGAACAATATTTGAACACCTTGAACAGGCCTGTCTGTCCATCTCTATATATGCGAACTCGTGACACAGTTTTTTTTACAAGTTCTGTTCTCCACAAGAAGCTGCGCATTTGTCGAAATCGCCGATATCGGGGCATTATAGCATATTGCCGAATCAAAATCAAGTTCTTGTAAGGAATATTTTTTAATATTGAAGAGTATTTTAGCTTTGGTGAACCAAAGTTAACGTTTTTTCTGGTTCTAACAATGAATACATCCGGCCACACTGAGTACAAAAAACAGTAGAAATGTTAAAGCAACATTAAAACATTGAAAATCAAGATGCTGCAATATGTTTCAAAGCTTGTAACAGTATTCTTTATTTCTAAATACCACATTCCTTTAAAAGCACGCACAAAATAACGCCAACAATGCCACCAGCAATGTAAAGTAGCTTGTCAGCTGCACATATAACCGTTGAATGCCAAGATATTCCTCGAAACATTGCTATGTAATCCTATGACTTCGCCAGTTGTTGTTGTTGTTAGTGTATTGCTGTGCTAGTGGGTAAAGCTTGAAATTTAAGTACCGCTACGCTCTAGCCTGTCAATTAATGTACATAGTCAATACACTCTTAGCCATACACGCTTTAAGGCTCACAGGCGATTGCTATGCTATTCCAGTGTTCCGTTATGTGGGCGATAGCACGGCTGTGCAATATGTGTGCTGAGCCACTCAGCTGCTCAAATACGCCAGTAAGTAGCCAGTGCAGCTACTTAAGTTACTAACACAGAGCATGTTGCAACTGTAAACTACGCCAATACGCGCTGCACTCTTGCCTTTGCGCCACGGCTCTTGGCACTCGTTGCTCGTGTTTTGCTAGTTTTTTTTAACGCCTTTTTTGTTTGCAGCGCATTTTGTTTATCAAGGATATCACAAAACAGGGATAATGCATGTAATCATGATAAATATTTTATATATTGGATGTCGGCGGCAGCGTCAAATCTCCAAGCAAACACACGCCGACACACACGTACATATGCACTTGTGTGCGAATGGCGGTGCACGCGCGCTCATATTATCCTTATAGCCCACATTTATATGCTTCACTGGCGGCAACCGTTAGCCGCCCAGCGCTCAGTGCCAGTGTCAATGACGTTGTTATCCTTTAACGCACACTTTTTTTATATTCTTTTTTCGTTTTTTTTTCATTATGCTTTTTGCTTACTCTTTCAAGCCACGGCTGGTGTCAAGATGCAAATCTGATCGGCCCAACGCAGTTTACGCAAATTACAATGTTCAAGTTGAGACACTCGCCTCATCCCTTTCCCGCCGCTCTGTGCGTTGGTGAGAATTTATGTGTTGACGTTGGCGTTAACGATCTTTGTGGCGTAGAGTTTAATGAACTTAATGGCAGTTGGAAAATAATATGGCAATTTAAAAGTGAACTACTGCATTAAACGTTTAATATTCATAAAGTCACAGCCTCAACTATATTGTTCTGTTACAATTGCTTTCTCCTGTTAGCTTTTGCTTAGAATAAAAAAAGTTGAGGTTATGTGTAACAGTTGTCTGAAAGTAAAACAATTTTCTGCTTTCGCATCCGTTGTGGTAACTAGAACTGGTATAGATCATATACGCAAATCGACAAAGCGCTTTGAACCTATCACAAATTTGTTGAGACGGTTAACGTCGGGTTCGGCTATGTCTTCTGGTTCACCGAAGGTAAGACTGCCGATATGTTTCAACCTCAGTCTTGCAAAGGCTGCACAATGGAGGAGAAAGTGTCTGCATATTCCCACTGCACTCTTCTCTGCCCAGTACATTGGTCCAGTGCTAGAACACAAGACAATCCAACTCGTTCCCACGCCGATGTGAACGGGGAAGGGTGCCCCCTCTGGCTAGCTCATCGACGTTGCAGTTGTCAGCGATTTCGATAAGACCAAGCACCCAAACACGTCTGAGTTAAAGTAGCTTGATACTATTTCTAGTGAGAACAAATATTGCTTGACTAGCTTTGAGTGCACAGTTAGCGAGTTAAGCGCTAGTATTGGCGCTCTGCTGTCGGACTCCCTGAAAATTTTGTAGCAGTACGGCTACCGCAGCAGCGACTTCTGCCGTTATAGTGGTCCGGCAGCCTAAAGCTAAAGGTTGAAAAAAAAAAATACGGTCTATGAACTTTAATTTTTTCTTTGGGAAGTTTAAAGTCATGTAAAGCAGATAGCATTAGTTTTATCTTATCAGCGATGCTTAACGAACGACTTTATAAAATAATCAAAAAATTGGTAGACTTTCGGACATCTTCATATTTCATTATTCATTTTGGTACTTGAGTTCTTCTGTACTTCTC